CTGGCTGATAAATTTAAAAAAGTCAAAAACGGAACATTAAATCTTACGATCATTTTCAAGTTTATTTTTAACTCGGACCCATTAGTGATATGAGTCTTTTAAATAGTTTTTTTTTTTAGGTATTACATTTATAGAAAATAAATTATGGAAAACATGATATCCATACTTTAGAGTATTTCACCAGCATCTAACCTGACTCTGCATTATGACGGATTGGTGTAAGAAATAAAATTAGTAAATTGTATTACTAATAAAAATAGCCAGTTTTATTGTGCAAGTACAACACAATCAATTTAGAGAAATGTATTAATTCTGTGAGCTAAATTAAATACAGAGCTTGAAGCAGGACCGTAGCTTAGCTTAATAGCATTAAGAGTGAAAACAGAGTTTTAAAAAAATGTAACTATACTTTAAAAAAAAACTACCTTTCTTATTATCATGCTATGTTGTGATTATTAGAGCAACAAAAACCCAGAGTAATAAGCTCTGAGCAAGCTTAAAGAAGCCTAATTACTAGCTTGAAGAAGAAGCTTGTATTTGTATTTATGCTAAGCTAAACAGCATGCCCTGCACCTCTGCAGCTTTTAGATACACTGAAATTAAATAAAAAAATAAAAAAAATCGACACACTGCTGGGGAACAGATCTCAGACCCATACTGCCCTTCTCATGTTTTACACTGAACGCCCCCTAAAATTTCCAAAACACTGATGGAAAACCAGTGAAAGGCATAAAAGACATGAACTCATGTATGACCACAGTTTTATTTTTCTCTGGCCCTGTGAAAGCTGGGATAGACGTAAGAAATGGATGGATGATCGGATGGTTGAGCAATGGGATCACAGAAAACTAAACAAGGGTTTATTTTTGTCCTCTTATTAGAAACAGTATAAACTCACTTTTGTGAGTCAGAGTGAGTAACTTTGATTTTCATGTAATCCAAAAGCTTCTGATCTCATTAATGAAAACTAATACTCTCAGACTCCATTAGATGTCATCCTGGTTGCCATGGTAGTTAAAAAGAGGCTGTATGTGCGTGTGTGCTTAAGCGGATTGTCACCCATTAGGCACTTTGATGAGCCAAATCTGGTGATGTGGAAGTGACTAATTATTGCACACACACACACACACACACTGAGGCAACACTAAACTGAACAAGTACCCCTAATAAAGCAAGTGTCACTCTCACTAATAAAAAAAAGCTGGTGTTACTTGGAAAGATAATGGAAGGAAGCGAGCTGACATTTAACAGATGGATTGTTTCATTTTTAGGCATCGTTTGCTTCTTCCTAAAACCCCTTGATCTGCTTGTTAAAGAAAACTCTGTGTAAGCAAAGGGTTTGATGAGCCAGAGTCTTATTATTGACCCAAGGTTTACTTTACATTCATGTCAATAAAGCTTTGGAGAAAGCAAATAATCTACAGTGCATGAAAAGGAGATCCATTATATGGTCATCACAGGTCCACAGCTCTAGCTGTGAGCACAGAAGCTCCACCCACCTGCTGTTCAAACCTTCTGTTTGTCAGGGGCAGCCAATCAGAAGAAAGTAGGATTAAAGTTCAGGTAGTTACAAAGAAAGCTTGTTTCATACAGAAGATGATTTAAGAGGCTACATCAAGGCCCAGAGTGCATGCATTTTATTTATTTATATTTTTTGGTAATTGTTGCAGTTCTTCTGAATACAGTGTGTGCTTTGAATTTCTTCCTGTATAACTGAAGTCACATGACTAATCTGTTATATATTGTATATGCTCTGTGCATTACCTTGGGATGGGTGGGTCCGGGTCCATTTGCACGGATTTATTTGTTTAATAACTGGAAGTTGTGCTGCACGACCCTGGGGGCCACATAATAACACACTCTGGTGCTAAGTCATCACTAATGCCTGATCCGAGCTAAATGGACCTAGTTAAGGCTCTTCCTCCATCCTGTCCCCTGTTCCCCGTTGTACAGTAGCATCTTTCATCAGCTCTCCTGAGACGTCCTGCCAGTGACCACGAGGTGTATATAAGACCCGCTGAGGATGTGACCAGCACTGAAGTTCGTTCTTAGCAAGTCTGCTTAGACAGCCATCTTCTTCTCTTTCCTCTTCTATATTTGTCATCAGTGTTTGTCTGACCTCCTCTCGAGTCTGAGAACATGGACACAGCTGCAGCAGTGACTCTTCTGGCACTGATTATGGCGATGGCTGGCGTCAGTCACGCTCTTCATATCCAAGCCGGCCTGGACAAAAATGACATCTTGCCTGGCAGCTCAGAGGAGAACATGCCTGACCGCCTGTTGGGGCTGGTGAGACAATCAAACCACTGAAAAACTTGTTAATTTTCATTTCACGTACATGTTGACAGTCTATTTTATGTCAGGTCCAAGATCATTTGAAGCTTTAAAACTGAAATCCTATCGCTGAAGCACATGTGGTGATTTTTATGCATACTTTGTGCCTGATTTAAATATGGACTGCCTGCTCTGGTACATGCCAACATTTTCTGAGAGGATTGTATGTAAATGCGACTTGAGCCTTTTATCAAATGAGACAGGATAAATCACACAGCCCATTTAGATTTCAGATGGTGTTCCTCTTCATGCAACAGTGTGAAATACACTGTTATATATTCTGGTGTGAGCAGATAGTCGGGGGCAGGATAGCGAATCAGATAAAGGACAAGAAGATCACGAGTACTAGATTTTCTCTTTGTGACATGCAGGGATGGACAGATCTGGGTTTTACTTTGCATAAAATGAAGCGAATGGATATTTTGGTGTGCACCGTGTACATCTCTCAGCCTTGGTGCCTTAATATCTACATCTCAAGGCTTTTTGCCACAGTAGGACAGACTGTTTGGAGTCATCAGCCCTTTAAGTTTGTGATGTTCTTCATGTTCTATTTAAAAAAAAAAAGAAGAAAGTTTGACACGACGGTGTGTGCTTGTGTAGCCTTAAATGTGTCCTGGTGTGTTCCAGGAGAGTGAAAACAGAGATAGCGACACTGATGATCGCTTGCTGACTTCATTGCTGAGAGCCCTGCTGCACGGAGCCCAGAGAGAAGCCAGGGAGTCTGTCCTCCATCAGCCACAGAGGTCAGTGGCATCACAGCGCCTGTATTAATCTACATTTCAAGTTTTCCTATCAGATGTGTTTACAGAAAAACACTAATATAGGAAGTTCACTGATGTAGTTTGGGCTTGTCATCAAATCATTTTTTACCCATTCTTTCTTCAAAAATACACCATGTGGGTAGTTTGTAACTATTAAAAGGGATTATGATATACAGTAGATCGCACCGTGTACTGGAAGACAGGAAGAGGAAAATCCATTTAGCCATTTGCAACTACTTTCCATATCTGAATTTTAAAAGATCAAAATGACCCATTATGTACTTGAAATGTCCATTTGTAAAAATCATTCACAGTCAAAACGATTCTTATGGCAAAGCTGGGTTCATTAAACTGGTCTCATCTTCAAGCGACCTTCCTCTGTAACAGCCCTTCAAGCTCAAATGTAACTGAGGCCCAGCTACGATCACAACATCAACATCAATATTTTGTATTTTCTGGTCTGCGTTTACAGATGTTTATTTATCTAAAATCATAGTTTGGAGTTGAATTAATTGAAATAATTCCCACTCTTGGTGCTTTTCCCGTCACAGATTTGGCCGCAGTTCCAGAGGGCAGGTTGTGCTGGAGGATCAGATGCATTCCCGTGACTGGGAGGCTGCCCCCGGTCAGATCTGGAGTATGGCCGTGCCCCAGAGATTTGGCAAGAAGTAATGTTGCAGTCATGCGGTGTTGCCCTGGTGGAAGGTCAAGCAGCCGAGAGTTATAAAGATACTAGATTTGTTCCACTCTAAGCTCCAGCCCACTAGGCTTGACTTTACACCTGGTGTCCAGTGAAAGATGACACTAGCTTAATCTTTCATGATTATGATTGTTGTTATTTTCTTTAAATTTCCAACACTGGGAAGCACGGTGACTGGTGATTGTTTGGATCGGCATGTTAAGGACTGAAAATGTTTGCTGTAAATTGTTAGTTGCTATGTTTTTGTTGTTCTTCCGTTCAAATAAAAGAACTTTAATCTTGTAATGCTAATTTCATCTGTATTTGTGTTCAGTGTCATCAGTGTTCAAATATCACAGTAATCCGTTAAAGAAAGGTGGGAACAAACAGATGTTGAAATTTTATAAATCCAGCTGTTGAGTTCATTTAAATATGGCCACTTAATCTGTTGCTAATCATGTTTTAGTTTGTGAAATGTGTGTAAAAATGGCAAATCCAAGTTTTCTCAAACCAAGGTGAGATCTTAAAGTGTCCTGTTTGTCCAAATAAACTCTCAAATCCCCCAAAATCTTCCACTTAAATATATAATATGATAAATACAATAAAAGGTATTTATAAATAGATAACGGTGAATTCTGCATTTTGGAAGCTATAACCAGCCAACATTTATTATTTTTATCGAAACTGTTTTATCAGCTCATAAACTAATAAATGAGGGTTTTTTTTAGCCTAAAAAGCTTAAAATCATTTAACTTAAGTTCTTATTTCAGCACTTAGCGTTGTTTTTTTTGTTTGTTTTTTCTAATATCAGCCTTCCTTGTTTTTAAATTCGATCAGAGGACAAATGGTATATTTTTTGTTTGTTTGCAGGACGGTGTTATATCTGCTGGATCTGCAGCCAGTACTCACATCAGCTCGGCCATAAACAAGAGCATAACTGAAATGTGTCTGTGCTGGTTCACTTAAACATCGGGGGAATGTAAATGCAGTGAAGACCACACACAGAGAGATGAATGAAATACGATCGTAATGTAAGTATTTTTCATTTCTCTACAAACAGCACCGTGCGGGGGGTTAATGTAGTGGGATAAGGATGGAAATCCTGTGTTCAGTGTGCCGTGATGGTCAGCACTTCTCTGCAGACTTGTGCTGGTGTCTGTGGCTTATTTACAGGCCACCTGGGGAAGCAGCATGCAACTAATTAAAACACACAGCAACATGCAATTACTCTACACATTACTGGTGTCCACAGCTAATTACTGGGAAGGAAAGCATGTCAATCCCACTTAAAATGAGTCTTTTATAACCTCGAGCTCTCGTTCTGCTGCAACACCCCAGAAGACAAAATAAAGTAATGTTGTTGGGTTTTTTTTAAGACTAATGGCCAATGATTCAGTCATTTTATTATTATTTTGGTTATTTTTAATCAAATGTAACTTTAAATTCTTGTTTATGGTTTAATCTGTGTTTGTTGTCGTAACATCACAGGTTTGAGCAGATTGCTCCCGGCCTCTGGACTCTGATCTTTACAGTTCTAATTAGAAATGAAACAAACAAACAAACAAACATACAAGAACCATACAAATGAAAACCTTGTTACAAAACAAAAAGGGTAAGATTGACTGCAGAGGGTAACAAGACATTGTGGCACAGAACAAAGGGAACCTGTGCTGCACACAGAGAGCCCTGATTGGATGATTACTTACAGGTGATGATGACTGGAAGTAAAGCTGACTTGAATCTGAGTGCATTCGAAATAAAATGTGAAAATAAATGCAAATCTATGACAGTATTGACCTGTTAATATGAGTACTTTATCAAACATAAACAGAGACTCTATATGAAATATGAGCAGCACTGCGTTAAGAGCTGCTGTTTCAAAGCATCTTTAAGCAAGTTGGTCATCATCATCTTGTTTTTACTCGTGACGAGAAAGAACCACATCTAACTTTAGAGATATGCGTGGCGTTGACTTACATCTGTCTTACATACCAGCTTTGACAATGAGACATAAATGTGAGATAACAAGAAACATATTGAGACAAAAGAAAACAACAGAGGCAGAGCAGGTGCTGTTGTCCACACAGCTGTAGCCTCTCATCAGCTTAACTGACTTAAAGAAAGTCGGCTCATCTGAATTTCATGAGTCTGCAGGGGGTTCAGGCAAAACATCTGTGTGTGCAGTAATTATACCAGAAAGCTGCAAAGAGAGCGAGATCGAAAACCCAGACTGACTGACAGATACACTGGGTATAAAGACTGCTTTAGACAGCTCCTGTGTGCAGCACTGTTTTACACACACACACACACACACACACACACACACACACACACACACACACACACACACACACACACACACACACACAC